CACACACACACACACACACACACACACACACACACACACACACACACACAAAATGAATTGCCCAATCGAGGAGATTTGCATGCTTGATGTATTCTCTCCACCGGTGTGTGCTCCTGCAGGCTGTGCTGGACTTCCACAGGCAGGTAGCAAACACGGTGTCCCATGTTTCAGAACAGTGTGAGGAACTATTTGGAACAAGTTGTGAAATTCCCCAAGACGACAGCTTGGAGAAAATGAAGATTCAGTTGATAGGAGCGCTCAATGACTCTGGGAGATACTTTGTCTTCAAGGAACAAATGAAGGTCAGACCAACTGCCCACATCTATGATGGATTAATGAAATTTACAAGGACACTGAAACTATTTTTAGGGATCGATCTAATGGTTCTGGTCATATTTTTCTTCTACATTAGTGTCATTATTTCTCCTCAACGGCTTGTGTATATTTCTGGTTTGTAGCATGCGGTGGTGAGGATCGTACGTGACAAGATGAGGCGGACAGAGCCGTTCACGGATGATCAACAGCTGAAGGAATTTGCCAGCAAACTCTATGTCTACCTGGTTGATGAGATGCACGTTGCTATGAGCAAGGTACCAAACACACACTTTCATATACAGTCTATGAGGACATCTTTTGACTTTTTTGTTTTATCCTTACTTCCTTAACAGATTTATTCTCCAGATGCTGTTGAGGGCTACCCAGATAACATCCAGTTACACTGTTCTCAGCTCTCACATTTTGCCAGAGAGGCACAGCTTACTGGGAATTACGAGCAGGCTGCATATTACTGGAAAGAGGTATAATAACAATGCTCTAAAGCTCATTGCGAAAAAAATAATCAGGAAGATTTATGTAAAAAAAAAACAGAATAAGGTTGACAGACAACTATTTGCCGGACAGATTTAATTACTTGTTGTCAGAATGTCATATAAAGACTGGGTTATGTTTGTCTGTTATTCTCAAGAATATTTATAATAATGTTATGTTTGAATGTTTTTCTTTTGTTTCGTCAAGTGGACACAAGTCACATTGCAGCACTGAATAATGATAATGGTTGTTAAAATAGATGAAGTGGTTTCTGATATTTTTTTATTAACCTGCAGCTAGTGGTCAGGCACCCAAATGAGCCCACCTATATGTTTGAGTGGGGGGGCCTGTACATGCTGACCGGAGACTACCTGAAGGCAAAAGAGTGTTATCATGATGCTGTGTCTATCGACCAAGTGCACCAACCCAGGTTAGAAATGCACTCCTTACAATATTGATCTTCACTTTAAGCAAATCATTAATTTAATAAGAGATTAATTATTGAATAATTATTTTGGCCTGCATATTATATATATATATATAAATATTATAGACTGTATAAGTATAGTCTAGCAATCAGCTCAATTCTAAATCATGATGGTATATTATTTGTATATTATTATTTGATAGAGGAAGAGAGATATTTAGAGTTACTTCCTGTCACAGTATTCTTCATCTCCACTGTATTTTCTGACGTCACAAGCAATGAACCTACCTGCTCGTGTTTTATCTTTTATTGGAACATGGTTCAGTGGTTACTTACAATACAACTTTATTTGTATAGCACGTTTAAAAGACCAGCGGTACACCAAAGTGCTTTACAATAAAAACAGGAAAATCAAGACATGATTAAATAATAGACTATTAACAAAGTAGGGAATATAAGAACTATGTAACAAAGTTACTAAGAAGAGATATAGCTAAAAGATAAAGTACATAAATAAAAAATTGAACCAAATATAAAATAGGGACACTAACTAGATGGAAAAGCTATGTTGAATAAGTGAGTTTTTTAAAAGATAAAATGGAGTCTGACGCACGGATAGTGATAGGAAGGTTGTTCCACAGATTCGGTGCAACCAGGGCAAAAGCACGGTCACCCCTAGATTTAAGTCTAGATCTAGGCTGAGGAGTAATTGGGCTGAAGACCCGAGGGCTCGCCCAGGGACATATAGACTAAGAAGATCGACAAGATAACGAGGGGCTAAATTATTTATAATTTTAAAGGTGAGCAACAATATTTTAAATTCAATGCGATATTTTATGGGTAACCAATGCAAATCAATAAGAACTGGGGTGATAGAGGCATGCTTTCTAGTGCCAGTCAGGAGGCGAGCCGCAGCATAAAAAACAGGTCGTCAAACAGTTTCACGAGTTCAAGACCCATGTTTCTTTATCCTCTTCTTGCTCCAGCCTGATGATGTGTGGGGTATTGGCAGTGATGTTTGAGCATTACAGTGAGGCCCAGACTTTCCTTGAGCGAGCCACCAGCCTAGACCCTCTCAGCGTGGTGGCCTGGACACTGCTGGGTGAGATGAGGATCTGTTTTGCTTCCTGCTGCTATTGTATCAGTGAACAGCAAAATGATACTACCAAACTTCATTTGTCAGTAGGTATTACTGTTTGTTGTCTACCCCCAGTGTAATGGAGGCCCCGCAGGTTACTCAAGACAGTTTGACTGTTGTGTGTGACTTTCATAGATTTAGGTTGGTTTGTAAATCTGTCTTTAAAATATCCATCCATCATCTTCAATTTAGGGTTGGGTGGAGCCCAGTTTGTCATAGGGTGAGAGACAGGGTAGACCCTGGACTGGTCTCTTTAAGAGTTGACGCAGACTGAACAGACAAAATGATGAACAAACAAAAAAACATGAATATAAAACAATCTGTAACCTAAACACCCACAACAATAGTGGAAGAGGGATGCATGCTGGGGAACGTGGAGTAACCTTGTTGGGTGTTTGCTCCAGGTTTGTTCCATGCGGGTCAGAACGACTCCATCCAGGCTGAGAGGGCTTTTATGGAAGCCACAAAGCTGTTGAATGCAGAAGAGGCAAAAAAGCAAGAGCAGAGCGAGGAGAAGGGGGAGAAAGACAAGGAGAAGAAACACGAAGAGGAAGAGAACAAGCAGGAGGCAGATGAAACAACAAACTCTCCCAGAGTTATGCAAGGTGAGGAAAACAAAAAAACAGAAATACAGACATATACAAGACAGTGTCAAGTGCAATAATGCCAGTCTATGCATGAGTTCAACCCATTCTGTTCCCCTGAGCCCCATCTCCCTGTCAAGGAACTACTTTCGTTACTACTCTGTCTGCTAGAGCTCTCATGCACTTCAGCCCAAAGGGCATAGGGCAGAAGAAAATAAACCCTTGGAGTAACTGATGTTACCTGACCGTGTAGCTTTATTTTTCTCCTTTACCCAGAACTTGTTGACCAGGATTCAGAGATGCACAAAGAAGAGCCTCCAGCACCGAGTGTCAGCTTGAAATCAGCTCCTGCTACTATTTACACACAGACCATCCAATTCCTGCTGCAGAACAATGCACTGCAGGTAAAACATACCCAGCGTGTTGGTTTGCACAGCACTGTGTTAACGTGACCATCGGTTTATTCTGTTACTGCACAAAAAGGGGCATATTACATATGGCAATCTGCAATTTCAAAAGACACTTGGTTTTAGAAACATGTGTTAGTGATATGTGTTATATGAAAGTATGATAGCATCAGTTGCAGTTTATCATTTTGAAAAAATATTAGATTTTTCTCTTTATTTATATTTTTGCAAATTTAAAAAAAAAGTCTTATGTAATATTGGGAACAATAAATGTCTAATTTTAAAAGCTCTGAGCAGTAATGCTTGAACAAAAATAAAACAAATAAAAAAAGCAATAGCAAAAATCGTTCAGAGATGACTGTTTTCTGTTGTCAGATGGCAGAAGTCGCTCTATCCGAGGAGCTCCTATGTTCAGATGGCGGTCGCAGTGCTTCCTACTTCATTCATCTGGCCCAGTTGCAGCTGCTTAAAGCAGACTACTGCAGTGCTGCTGCCAACCTCAAAGAGGCACTGTCCAGCATAGATCAGGTACTTCCACACTACCTCTGGCTACAACACGAGTATCGACTGGGTGAGGAATATTACAGGAGTGTTCAACTGCATGTAGGGCATTACTTGTCCAGAAAGCATTTGATGCTCTGTTTGTAAAGTGTGAAACCTGCAATTTATTGTCTAATTTATCATGCTATTCTTTTTTTTATCTTCACTAAACACCAAACAAATGAATAATAAATAAATATATTTGTTATTTTTATATTTTCAAGGTGCATATTTATTGTATATGACAAAGTAATCAGTTACAGCCACTGTTACTTTTTGATGCTCACCTTCTATAGATATGCATGACAACATATTCCAGTGTAGGATCAATTACTACACATAATATACATAATTTGTAAGGAGCTGAGTGTTATAAAAATAATTCCCAAAATCTAAGTGAATTGAAATCAGACCTAGTTTTATTCTTGAGATCATTCTCCTTCTGCTGGTCTAACAGCACAGATATACACCGAAGCTAAGATCTAGTCTTCTCCAGCATCATTGCTCTAGTTCAGGGGTTGGAAACCTGCAGCTCTGGAGCAACATGTGGCTCTTTTATCCTTATACTGCGGCTCCGCATGGTTTTGGAAAATAAATTATATTTATTTAACTGAAGTGTATTTTATTTGTGTTAGTAATTTTTTTTAACTTGTAGTTCTAAATTCGAAGATTATTGTGATCTTGAAATATAAAAATAAAGTTATATTTCATTATTTTTCGTCGCTCAAAATAAGCGCCACGCTAGCGGATACTGGTATACCTGCTGAAACGCCGTGCATTTATTGAGACGTTCAACCCCAGGTAGGTCAAGTATGGAGAAATGTAAGAAAAGAAAAATATCTGAAGAAAATAGAACATTTAATGATGCCTGCGTAGATTAATTTGAATTTATTTTTGATGAGAGTGGCCTACCAGTATGCCTAATTTGTGGATTGTTGATCTTCGGATCCACATACATATGTGAGCAGCTATTCTCCACCGTGAACTATGTTAAAAACAAATATCCCTCATACCTCACAGACGACAGCTTACAGTCCTGCGTAAAGATCAAAGTTACTTCATACAGCCTGGATTTGCAGACGCTGTGTGCAGAGGTTCAGGAGCAGAAGTCCTATTGTAAAGATATCACGGCAGACCCAATGATGTTTGCATGAACATGTTTTTCAGCAACTCTTTATTGACCACTTTTGATTGCGGATGCCAAAGGCCATGTAAGGATGATGGCTCACAACAGGTTTTGTTTGCTACATTCTGCATCTACAGTGACTCCTGGTGACTGTGTGGGGACAGTTGGTTATAGTGCACCTGAGGTTATGCTTGGTAATACATATAATGAAGCAATAGACATGTGGTCTCTGGGGCTGGTAACTGTGGAGCTTGCTACAGGGGTGCCACTCTACCCTGTGGAAAATGAATATGATGTTTTGAAATTCATCATAGACATGCAGGGTCAGCCACCAGATCATGTTCTAGACTCCGGCTTGTACACTAATTACTATTTCATATGAGACGTAGTTGTCTTGAACAACTAATGGAAGCTACCACAGGACCTCAAAATGACCAACATTTATTTGTCAGCCTAATTAAAAAAATGTTGGCCTTAGATACAAACCAGCGCATAACTTTTCCACCCTGGCCTCTCGGGAGTAGCACAGGGAGACAAAACCTCGCGGCCTCTCAGCAGCCTTCAAGTTGGAAAAGAGAAAGCTCACACAGAAATAATCTCCAGCATTGCTTCGTTGACCCCGGACAAAAGTGACAAAAACACAAGCAGGGATTGGAAAAGGCCATTAACAGCAAATTACACTGCAAGAACTAATTAAGGTGCTTTTATATCACTTTGGCTTTTTTTTGTTTTGTTTTAATTTTCACTCCCCCCACCCCAACCAGTCACAGCAGATGGCTGTCCCTTCCTGAGCCTGGTTCTGTCGGAGGGTTCTTCCTCTTTGAAGGGAGATTTCCTCCCCACTGTCGCTAATTGCTTGCTCATAGGGAATCATCTGATTGTTGGGGTGGTCAAAACTCCAGCGGAACTAGCAATTCTTGTGAAATTCTTTTTTAAAAGCCTAAAAAAATCAAAACAACCTATGAATATTGTCTTGAACTTGGCCACAATTTTGCTTAAAATCCCTAAAGTAATCCCTGTGTCAAGTTCTTGCCAATATTCAAAGCAGAGCAGCAGACAACTTACCATCACATCAGTCCTTCAATCAGACCTAATTCGATACAAATTGGGGAAAAAAATGGATGTATATTAAATAAAACAGCTTTAAGCATCAGCTAATTTTTGTTTGTAATTCTTTTTAAATATAGTGCTACCCTTTAGCCTCCTAGTAGACATACCTGTGTTATAAATGTGAAAATCCTCTGAGTTTTTTGTTTTGTTTTGTTTTTTTAGAAAAGTTGAGCTCTGACCTTGAAGTCAAGATCCCTGAGATTTAAACCTTAAAGAGATTTTCAGCAGATGCAACCATGGTATTGATTTGAAAATTCTATGTTGCCTCGTACTTGAGTTACTGCATTTACAAACTTGGGTGTCCACTGCGCCCCGCCATATACCAAACTCAAAAGATTAAGTGCTGTTTTTTTTAGTTCTTTCATAAAGTTTACAACACACAAATAAGAAAAATAGGAACACTATTGTCATTTTTGACAACACTATTTTCTTTTGTCTTTTGTGTGCACACAGTCTGTGTCAACACACAAGGAACACTGACACTTCATAAGATTTTCACTGTGTTTGTCTAATTCAGCCGCAACTTTTGGATTTCTCACCAGGATCCTGATGCATGGGCTTGGAATGGTCACTGTCACTATCTACGAGGGGAGTTCCATGAGGCTGAGGAGAGCTACGAGTGGAGCTTCAAATTCCAGCAGAAGCCATCAGACTCTCACATTGTCTTGCTCCGCCTGGGATCCAGCTACTTTATGCAGGAGAAGGTCAGATATTGAGACAGGCATCACTGTCTGATCAGTCAGACAGTTACTCATGTGTACTGGGTCTGCTAGCATCTATTCACTGTGTGAGAGTTTACCTCATGCATTTTTCAAGAAAGAAACAAAATGGACCAGCCATATGTCTTGGAAAATAACAGCAAAACTCAAATGTGACTTAAAACATCTCATGTGAAACCACAAAGTTATACAGTGTAACTCTGTCTTATTTTTTTTAACTCTCAGTTTCAGGAAGCCAAGGTTGTGTACCTGCAGGCCTGTGAACAGTCTCCATCCTGCCTGACCTGGCTAGGCCTGGGCGGTGCATGTTACCGGGTAAAACTCTTACCTTCAGAACATTGATGGGAATGATCGTATTAAACTCAAAAAAAGCTTCTATGTTGTGCCTTCAGAATTATTTTTGTTATATGGAAAATAACATAAAATTGTAAAACCTGTGATTCCACTCAGTGTATGGTTCAAGGTTTTAAGTACACTCCTGTTTCTATTGTTAAAAGAAATACTTTCGAAATACTAGCTTAAAAGAATAGTTGGGAGCCCTACTCTGTTTGTTTTGAAAGGAAGTCACCCTTTGTTGTTTCAGTGGGCATTTCTGTGTCTGTTTAGTTGGAGGAGTTTTGTACAGCTGAGGAAGCTTTGACTGAGGCCAACCATTTGGACAACCAGAATGCAGAGGTCTGGGCTTACCTGTCTCTCATTTGCCTCAAGGTGAGTGATGATAAAACACTATTAATGTCATTATTAATGTCCTCCGTCTGTATTTCAAGATAATCTCGCGCACAGTGGCTTGACACATCCCCTTTTATGAAGACTACAGAACAGCGTATCTTTGTTAGAAATTGAAAAACAATCTACAGGAGTCAGAAGAGCTGACTGGTTAGGGTTATGGTAAGAATTGAGTCAGTTTAAGCTTTGGAATAAATGACTCTTCAGGATGAGGGATGGGTTCAGAGTAAAAAGCCCTAACCTCCATAGAATCTAATGCCAACATCCATCCTTTTGCCCTTTGGTAAAGCCAATGCTTTAGTCACTGAACACACTTTAATGAGACACCAATTAATTTGGGAAAATGCTTGTGCAAGTAGACGCTGCATGTCGATCAATATGATAAATGGCTAAAATCAATTCAGGAATGCAGACTTTGAAGTAGGACATTTTGATTAGTATCAATTAATATTAGTGGCTAACTGTATTTTAATTGAGCTCTCTTTTAACCTTGACACCTTGTCTTCTGCACATGTGAAGTACTCACAACATATTACTGACTCTGTGATTCAAAAATCTGCAGAAATAAGTAGTCTGATTGTGACTCATGACATGGAACTGAGTTCTGCTTCCTTCGATTCACAGTGTTTAAAGATACTGGACAAAGTGGCACCTCCTAAAATTAGAAAAGACAGCATCGTTAAATCATCTCCTTGGATCACTAAATCTATTTGCAGTTTTAGTTGGCTTTGCCTTAAGACTGAGTACCTGTGGGAAAACCACAAAATGTCCTATTTACAATAGGAAAAGGGAATGCCAAGGTTCTATTTGACACTGAGAATAACATTGTTTCTCCTCCAACACCAAGTACACCAGGTTTTTCAGATAAGGACTACAATGAATGTAAAAAACTTTTCCAAGGTAAGATCAGTGGTCAAAGAGAAAATACAACTCCCACAGATCGCCCTTTCGATCATAAACTCTCACACATCCCAAAATTGTAGAATCTTTTCACCCACTTTCTTTAGCTTATGTATGTCAAACACTACTCCAAATTAAACCCTCAGCAAGCTCAGCCAATGTCTTAAGTTTTTGACTCCATTTGGCCCTCTGTGGTCAGGCTGTGTCCTAGAGCAGCGGTCCCCAACCTTTTTTGCGCCACGGACCGGTTTATGCCCGACAATATTTTCACGGACCGGCCTTTAAGGTGTCGCGGATAAATACAACAAAATAAAACTAGTACCGGTACCGAAAAAAAGACAATTTATTCATAACACGTGAAAAGACCCAGGAAAACCGAGTTAATGATAAAAACGATAACAAAATAACGCTGAAAACCGATAAAAACCCTGAAAACCATACATTTCACACCTGAGCCTCTACTCTCACGGCCCGGTACCAAACGACTCACGGACCGGTACTGGTCCGAGGCCCGGGGGTTGGGGACCGCTGTCCTAGAGTTCTTTAAACAGGTGGTTATCCAACCAGGTTTGAAAAAGCTAAATCTGCACCTTACACTAAACACCAGCTATAGACCTGTTTCAAAACTTCCTAAATTGCTAAACTATTACAAAAATAAAAATAAAAGGTTGTTGGGACAGGAAGGTGTTGGAGAAGCACAATATTCTTGATAACGTTCAGTCTGGTTTTAGGAAGTTGCACTCCACAGCTCTCCTTAAACTTTCGATCTTTGGATGGCTGCGGATAAGGGTGATTGCTCAGCCAGCCCTTGGTTTGCCTGACCTTATCTCAGCCTTTGAAATGTCAAATCTCCATCAAATCTTAGTCCAACAGTTAAACTACATGGTAGGGATCTCTGGCTCTTTCTTAGAGTGGGTCACTTTATTTCTTGCTTATAGAACACTTTTGTCCTCATTGGGAAATTTTGGGTTTGAAACGGCTGCATTTCCATGTGGCATTCTGCAAGGATCTGGTTTAAGTCCCTTGTTATGGGGCAGCAATAGCTCAGTAGGTAGAGTGTTCGCCCCGTGATTGGAGGCGGTCAGGGGTTCAAATCCACCGAATGGCTACCCTGAGGTACCCTTGGGCAAGGTACTGTCTCTACACACTGTTTCCTGGGTGCAGGATTGGTAGCTGCCCACTACTGAAGATGCACGTTGATGCCTTTATCTCCACCTGCCTAGACTATTGCAATGCTTCGTTTTTGTGTCCGTTTAAAGCATCTATTAATTGCTTCCAATCTGTCCATAATGCTGCTTCAACACTTTTAACTCAAACTCATAAGTTCACTCATTGTTAGATAGTTCAAAATCTTGATTCTTACTTCTGTGACCTTACAAGATGAGGCCCCTAGTTATATCATCAATCTTTTCAATCTTGTCTGCAGATAAAGGTCTCCTTGTGATTCCACATGCCCGTATGAAAACTAAGAAGGATTTTGCTTTCCAGACTTTAGTGCCAAAACTGTGGAACAGCTTATCGCTTTTGCTGCACACCAATGACTCTGGCATCCTTTAAAAAAATGCCTAAATGCATCTATTCAGACCAGCAATTTGGTAAAAATTTTGTTTTGTGTTGTTTTTCTTGATTCAGGTGTGTTCGTTTGACTGTATTTTTAATATTTGTGTAAAGCACTTGTCTTGAAAAGGAGTATACAAACAAACTTTACTTACTTACATAACTAAACACATGGTCTGCAACTCAATTAACACTGATGAACCTTTTGTTTTCAGTCTGGCAAAAAGGAGGAAGCAGAGAAGTTTTATAAATATGCAATACGGGTGAGTTTGGTTGTTGTTTTTGTCAGTCACTGTAATTTAACATATCAGTGGGGCGGTTAGTGATTTAGTATTAATTATCCATGTTTTAAATTCTGTATTAAGTAGTGATTTTTTTAAAAGAAAAAGTAGACATGCAACATTAATACTGAATATAAAACAACAAAAACAGCTTCTCTGTGAGTTCTCTGTAGCATTTGATTACTAAGGATATAGATTTCCTGCTGTCCTTGATTTTCTCGTAAATTACATTAGAGCCCTGTAATCCTTTATTTTGTCACAGTGAATCAGTTTTTACTAAATATTGCATCCTCTTATCCAAGGTGAATTTTACATTAGGATGCTGGTTTCTTGAAAAAAGAAAAACATTTTCTGTTTTCTCGGTATCCACAGTTCAACCTACAGATGGAGTCACTCCACAAAGAGTTTGAAAAGTTGAAGAATCAGCTTCGCTTCCATCATCTGGAGTCATGCTTTGAAAGAAGCACTGAAGCAAAAGAATAAATCATATGTCCAAGTATGTACACATTATATCTCAATGACCAGTATTTGAAACAACATTTTATTGGGTTTTCAGCATGTGTAGTGTATGAAAATTAAATACAGAGAGTTCAGATATACATGATGACTTAGATTTCACAGACAGTGAGGATAAGTAACCAGTTGAGCCATAAAAGTTAAGCTCTGATCAATATCAACATAACAAACACAGTTAAAGCAACACCATAATCTCAAATCTATATAAAACAATTGCAATATAGTGTTGTTTTTTTTTTTTGTTTAAATACAAAAACAAAGAAAAGAAAGGAGGCTATATGGTGACTGGTACCAGCAGGATATAAAACATTTACTATTTCACATTTGATGTCATTCTTTTGTTATCATTTATGCAGGAAAACAAGCCCTCATGACACTTTGTGGTGTTTTTGTTCTAAGACACCTTTCTAAATTTTGGCACAATCCTCTCTGCTTTGAAAGGAAATGTTGTGAAATATTCTTTTGAGCTTGTCAAATAGTTCACGAAGGATGTGTTAGAATGGGCCCTGAATAAATTTCCTTTAAAACCAAATGGATTACAGTGACCAGTTCTTTGTTTTGCATGGGTTTTCTTTGTAACATACTGTATTTTGATATTCTTTTAATGCCGTTTTTAAACTAGGCATCTGAGTGTTGGTGTGATCTATTGCAGAGAGATCATTGTCTGACCCGTGAAAACATATCTCTCAGCCACGGCGAATCCTCATAGAGGCGAGGGTCACCCAGATACTCTGAGGTCCTCTTGTAGAAGTAGTAGTACAGCACAGAAGCTGCAAACAGGAAATTATGTTAGGAGGCTTTAAAATATACGGATATTTAATTTACAAATGTCTGTAAATTAGAAACATGACTGATGTGAATGTAGATTTTCATATCAGTGACTCTTTTGTAATGTGTTTTCACAGTGATCAAGGTTATTCAAGAGATTTATGTGATTGCAAAATAAACAGGGAGAAAACTTGAAAATTCCCACCAGTGTTTAAAACTGAGTGAGGTAATGGCTGTGCTTACACACTGAGTAGCTGTCTGGACAGGTCTTAAGTGGCAGACAAAGCAAAGACAACAAATAGCACATGACTCTTCTCGTACGCAGATCACCTACAGAGAGTAATGCCAGCTAGATGATGCAAGCTTTTATCCACTTATGAGCTTATACATGTATAAAAGTGGCACCCACATGGTGATGAAATGTGATGTCACTGCCTGGAAGAGTAACCAGTAACAACAGGCGACAGGTAAAGGAAAAATAAAAAGGTGGGTGAAATGATCATACAGTTTACTAGGGCATTAATGGGTTGTTGTTTTTTAGCTTAAATCTGTACTGCTGTTTTGGACTGCTTCACCGGCTTGTATTGTCTCCATGTATTTTCTCCTGTCTCATTTGCAAAATCTAAATTTAATTATTCAGTCAAAATGTAAACATTTATTTTACAAGTTAATATGTATAATCAGATTATAGAGTGGAAAAATCCTAACCTTTTGTACTGTATACTCTTCAGTGTTTACATGAAAACATTCTAAATGAAAAGAGGTACATTTGTTGCATGAACTTGTTATCTTACCAGCTCTTTGGAACACAAAAAGCACCTGAAGACCGTCGGTCCAAATAAATCTGTTTGTATTTAACCAGCGCAGATTCTGAAAGGAATAGAAGGATGACAAAAAGGCCACTTTGTGATAAATTCAGAGATGTAAAGACTTTGTACATTATAGATAATTTAACAATTACAAACAGAACGATGAGAAATGCAAATGTTATTTTCTCAGTCTCATATAATGACACATTTTAACCAAGTTTTATCTTTTTTTTTTTTTTTCTTTCTTATGATGTTTTTCTCTTGGCAGTTATTAAAATCAAAATGAAAGCATTTGAAATGTCTGTAAGCTTGTTGTACAGTATCTCCCCAAAAAAGTGGCAAAGCCTTTGTTTTTAACGACGTACCATAAGCCAAGAATGGAGAATGATGCTGAAGGTCAAGTAAAGAGCAGATAGAATTAGCATGGTTCTAAACCGCTCCAGCAATATGGCAACCAGTCCAACCTGGAACACATAGGTGTTGAACAGCATCAACAGAATGATGATCAGGTTAAACAGGATGGCAATGTCCTGGATTCTGTTGAAGAAAAGGAAACAGTATAAGCAGCAGAAAAAAAAATGATGAAAACAGGAAGAGCTTGTCGGCAGGATTATTGTCTTGTCTAAAATACATTTTACTTCAGCATTTCAAAAGATTGTGCGGATAAATTGAGAATTATTTCCCCCCCTTGAGCTAGAGGCTGCGTTAGGCTGAAACAGTGAAAAAGTTTGACGTACATGAAAAGTACCAGCTGCACAGCTGGCTCAGTCCTCAGCAGCTCACTGAAGGAGTTGACAAACAGGTCAAAGGAGAGCAGGCTGAGCTGGATCAGTAACACCAGAGAGTAGTTGCTGGTATGGAGCGTCTCCGGCCCGAAGGCTGGGCGCCCGGGCGGACTGTGGTTCCACTGCGGATCCAAGGCTGCGCTGCACCCTCACACACACACACACAAACATCAATCGAGTTCTTTTTTTTGTTACAGTTTTGGGGTCTCAGTAAGGCATTCAAATGTCTCCACTCTCAATTCCCCATATGTAATTAAAACATGACTGATGCCAAATGAAGCATATGTTGTTCAAAGCAGTCCTGTTCACTGGGTAAAAATGTATGTCCTTTCAAAAGAGGGAACGGAGTCCGTTTTAGGGGTGAGCTGCCAGGAAGTCGACATGTCAGAAGTGCTGATTTTTATAGCTCCAACACCAGCAGGTGTGGTAGTACGGTACCGTATTTGTTGTGGCTGAAACAGCAACGACTCTGTTGGGCCTCCATATCAAAACTGATGAGACATCAGCACTGCAGTGAATGCAGCAGAGATCCTGTGGAAGGAGACAGATTAGTATTCTGCGATAACGCTTTAGGGCAGCAGTCTCCAACCTTTTTTGCGCCACAGACCAGTTTATGCCTGACAATATTTTCATGGACCAGCCTTTAACGTGTCGCGGATAAATACAACAAAATAAAACTAGTACCGGTACCAAAAAAAAGAAAATTTATTCATAACAAACGACTCACGGACCGGTACCGGTCCGAGGCCCGGGGGTTGGGGACCGCTGCTTTAGGGTACACACACACAAAAAAAGGCCAGTCTCATTTTATAGAAAAGCACCCAAACATTGTGCAAATTGCCATTTAACTGCCTTACACTCCTTCAGCTGCTTCGTACTACAAAACATCTCCTGCCCCAGGTAAGTTACACTTTTATACCCTGAAGGGAGGGATACCTTGTTCAGAAGTGACAGTTTTATTGGGAACCCACACTGCTCTAAGGCAGTCCCAGAGTTCTGATGCCAGGAAAATATAGAATAACTGCTAAGTCAATTCACATAAATGGGAAATGTGTTACATTTCTAGTGGTTTCTAGCTAAATTTGAAATGCAGTTTAGACTTCTGCCACCTGCTTGTTGTCATTAGTTTTTATTGAGTGGACAGTGTCCAAAGCGCTAATCAAAGCATGAGAAAAAACAAAACAAAAAACAGATCAGAACTAACTGACTAATTGTTTGTCTTTAAGCAGCTTCTCTCTCAAAAGAGCCTCATTTTCTGATGACAGAAAAACAGATTCTGATTTATTCCTCCCTTCCTTTATCCATCACATTAGGAAAAAAAAGAAAACAAAAACAAAACATCTTTACTCGATTTTTATAGAGAAACAGGTCCTTTCACTACTGTTGTCACCCCTCTGTGTATTTCTTAAGTAGGTACTTTAAAATCTTTGCCTGTGCCAGGATCACTATCCAGCAGGATCCTTCACACCGACACCAGGTTGATCCTCTTATGATCCCCGTATTTATGGCTTGGCACGGCCCTGGCAGGTGTGAGGAAGATTAGGACTATTTCTAAACCCTGAACCATCAACTACGAGGCTACTTCTTCTTGAAAGCTGTCCCACTAAGTTTCTAGGTTAGCAGCCCTACCTACCCCTTGGCAAAAACTGCTTTAGCAGTATGAACTAGAAAATAACAACATGTATTAAATGCAAAAAATTTTAAGTGCAGTGGACAACAAGATATATGGACTGTGAGTAACATCTACTATTTTGTTAATTGATCAAAATGATCAAAAAAAGTATATACACGTCTAAGACATAATGTTTTCCCTGTGTAAAGAAACGTGCTGTAAGTTTTAAAAAAAAAAGTATTTGTTGTTGTTAGTGTTCTACCAGCTTGTTCTTAGTACTGCAACACTTAATCTTCTTAGAAACATCAACAGCTTGTTGCTTTAGACAGAAACAACAGAAACAATGACATTCTTCAAGTTTCACAACATAAGCTACTGAAACTGGATCACAAACCAGCACAAACCTGCAAACGAAGGTGGGTTTCAGGGGCTGAAGAAGTATGCAACTCTCCAAACGACGCATGTGGCCACCATCAACACAGCGTGCAGCAGATTGGCAGCTTTTGTCTGTCCGGGTAACAGGTCTGATCCCTCCAGCTCTCTAAAAGACAGGCGCAAAGGTTTAGTCATGTGCCACCAATCATGTTGAGTTTGTTTACACACAGCTTGTTGAGATTGTAATGATGAATAAAGCTGTGCAAGCACAGTTGGATGCAATGTTAGTGATTACCTGTGATGAGTCTATGATTAATAGAGTGAAAAATGTTCCCAGTGACTGTGCCACATTTCCTTTTAATTTGATTGCAGGTTCTTCAAACACATGCAAGTGAATGTTGACGGGTTACAAATGGATGCTGTGGGAGCTTTTTTCCCCTAGCTCTTTCAATCACATTTCCATTCAAGATTACTGTAATGCTTCTGGGAAAGATAATTAAAGTCAAGCAACTAGGAAACTGTTGTCATCTAGTGGTAAGTATGTATTATTGCATACACAGTGGCAGACCACAGAGAATCAGCAGAACAAGCTAGATTGAAGTCAATATCAATTTGATAATGAAATAATAAATTAATGTACTTAATTGTAACATATTTGTTGATTGTTTGGGGGAAAAAAAGATGATTCAGACCAGGCTTTCTTCAGCTCCCATTTGGATTTGGGAGACAGACACCCTCTCTACTTTTAAGATTGGACTTAAAACTTTTCTTTTTGATGAAGCATATAGCTAGGCCTGCATCCGGTGGCCCTGACTCCTCCCTTTGGCCCTGTTACGGCCCTAGCAGGGCCTCCTCCTGAAGGTGCCTGTGTGGGCGTGTCCCACTACCTCTTCTGCCTGAGGTGCCACCTTTTCCCTTTTGTGCAGCTGACTCTCGTCAGTAATTAAAGAGATTTAAGCCTTATTGACCAACGCCTGAGTTTTGTTTGTTTTCTTAAATGGTGATAACAGCTTTTCTGTCTCTTTTAGTTGAGAAACTTGAATAAAACTCTTAAATTTAACCCTTTTGCCTCCTTGACTCCTTTTTCTGACCTGGACACTTTTGTGTGTCTGGGTTTGTGTCTAGTGAGCGGCTCTCTCTTTTTGACTTACTTTTTACTTTATTGACCAACGCCTGAGTTTTGTTTGTTTTCTTAAATGGTGATAACAGCTTTTCTGTCTCTTTTAGTTGAGAAACTTGAATAAAACTCTTTAATTTAACCCTTTTGCCTCCTTGACTCCTTTTTCTGACCTGGACACTTTTTGTTACTTCCCCCTCACGGCAAAGTAACAAGTGGGGGCTCGTCCGGGATATTTGAAAAGGGAGCTTCAAGTTGGATTTGATTATCTTGCTTTGTCACCTTTTTGAGAACTACAACTTCCCAGTTAAGTTAGGTGAGTGTCCAGCTGAGCTTCGTTTTAAGTTCTTCCTTCGAGCACTCTTTTGTTATTTTGCCTTTATTATTTTTGGGGTAATCCTGGGCAGGGATTAGTTCCCTGTTGGGGGTAGGCAATTCAGGGCTCCAGTCGCTGAAGTTTCGCCTTCCAAGTTGCCTCGAGCCCGGCACGCTTCAGAAGATAGGTAGGTAAAGTTTGTTGTGCTTAGGAACTGCGTAAGTTGTGTTTGTTTAATGTGTATACTGCAAGAGGTAAGTTGGTCAGTTAAAGTAAGTTGTGTAGTTTTCCATTAATGGGTTAATTATTGGGTAGTCTCTGAATGAGTTGGCAGAGAGGTGTGGTTGTGTCTTAATTAGGGTGTGTTTTCTAACCCTTCTCCGGCCCCCAAAATGGATGATGCAGCTATCAGTGCACAGGTGTCTAGAAGCTCGTTTGTGGGCAATAACATCCACCTGTTTCCCGTTTTCTGTGAATCCAGTGTTGAGAGCTTCTTCGGTGTGTTTGAAAGCATAGCAACTGCATTACAGTGGCCTGAAGACGTGTGGGGGGTGATGTTGCTGTGTAAATTCACAGGTAAGGCTCAGGAAGCTTGTTCTGGTCTGTCTAGGCAGGACGGCCTAGTTTATGGAAAGATCAAAAGTGCCGTCCTCCAAGCCTATGAACTTGTACCTGAGGCCTATAGGCAGCATTTTCGAGGTTTGGAGTTGGCACAGGGTCAGTCCTATCTTGACTTCGCTAGGGACAAGGCGAAGCTTTTTGATAGGTGGTGCTCTGCAAGCCAGGTTGATGACTTGGGGTCGTTACGTGAGCTTGTGCTGGTAGAGGACTTTAAGAACACAGTGCCTGACTGTGTTGCTTGTTATTTAAGTGAACAAAGGGTTTTCACATTACAGCAGGCTGCCACACTGGCAGATGAGTTCACCCTAAGTCATAAAATAAATGCTGTAGAATGTGATACCCCTCTGTGCCATAGTACATCTTGGAGAGGTAAGAGTGGGCCAGCTAACCAGGCTGGAAAAGTTGTGGTTTCGAGACCCGAAACAAAGCTTTGTTTCTTCTGCCACAAACCTGGACACCTTGTTGCTAACTGTTTGAAGTTGAAACGCAAACAGAAAGCCCACTCAAAGCAAAAAGGGCCTGCTTTGAGAAAAGTCAGTCGTGGCTCTCAAACCGACAAGGTTGCCAGGCCTACTAAAAGGCTAAACTTGGCGCAAAATTGCTCAGTAGCACCCTGTAGTCAGTGTAAGAGGTCAACTAGCCCTGAGCTGCTGCTGGTTGAAAATGTCCCAGTTCCTCAAAATGACCTGCAGGTGGACAGATCATGTATAACACCACCACTCAGACCTGCACCCCTGACTAACAAACATGCCTGTACCCGTGACCTGAGCAATCGTCTGAAAACTGTTACAGTAAGGTCTTCTGACTGCCTGCTGTGTTCTCCACATGTGATGGCTCAAAAAAGCCCTGGCTAGCACATGAGACATTGTTTTGAGGGTCTGCGGCCACCCTCAGTAAGTATTTTGAACCCATTGAGATGGGGTTGGCAGCTTCCGCAGGCAATGCCTAACCGTTGCTATGGGGTTTGGTAGGTGGAAAGCCTGCAATTTGTTGATGCGACGGTTACGGACTTGATTAGTTGTTCTGGTTATCATAATCATGTGACAAACCACGGGTTTGTATTTATGGGAGGGGGTGTTAAGGTCCTAGCAGGGCCTCCTCCTGAAGGTGCCTGTGTGGGCGTGTCCCACTACCTCTTCTGCCTGAGGTGCCACCTTTTCCCTTTTGTGCAGCTGACTCTCGTCAGTAATTAAAGAGATTTAAGCCCAGGGAAAGGTGAGCTCTGGCCAGAGTGCCATGTGAGTGGTTACAGCTAGTGAGCTGTGTGTGTTTGTGGTGGTTGCAGCTAGTGAGCTCTGTGTGTTTGTGGTGGTTGCAGCTAGTGAGCTGCTCTCTTTTTGACTTACGTTTTACTTTATTGACCAACTTCTGAGGTTTGTTTGTTTTCTTAAATGGTGATAGCGGCTTTTCTGTCTTTTTTATTTGAGAAACTTTAATAAAACTCTTAAATTTAACCCTTTTGCCTCCTTGACTCCTTTTTCTGACCTGAACACTTTTTGTTACTTCCCCCTCACTGCCTAGACCCCTCAGGGGAGCGTAACAGGCCCAGGCTACTGAAGGCTTCCCATCAGCTTGTTTCTTCTTCACTCACCTTTTTCCATTAACTGTGTGTTTATACACCACTCTACATTTAATTGATTTTTTTAAACTACAACACTGCAGCATCACTTAGAGTTAAAAACTGTCTAAATTCTTTCATCTTTAATAAAACGATCAGCATTGCTGCTTTACCAGGTGTAACTATAAAGTTTAACTTCCAGGCATCCATGAAAACAAAAGTTATTACATTTAACGGAGTTAGAAGTTAGCAGGAAGCTAGCGGAAGTTAGCTCGCTAGTTTCGCTAGTTACCTAAGCATGATATAGCATGTTCTGACTGAGAGATTTCTGAAAAAAATCAAACGTACAGCTCTGCTATCACTTCCAACATAAATGAAGACAGGAAACTAAACAGCAGTGACGTTTGTAGGGTTACTGAAGTTGGGCTAGCTGGTATATAATGATGTGCTACGTGATCGCTAGCGACACAGCTATGTTAGCATAACATAAACAGTGAAGCTGGAGGACGAACACTAACACTTTTCCACTTATAAAAGTTAACGTGAAGGTTCCTCATGGTTAGAGACAAATGCAATCGCATGGCAGGATGCTGTAAACGGACCAAACTTCAGTCAGGAGAACAACTGAGATAATCCATCCACAATACGAGGTTAGTCATTAATATACTGCAACAACATGGGAATAGAGCAGCTGCCAGAGAATTCAACATTAATGAATCAATGGTACAGAAGTGGAGGAAGCAAGAAGAATGAGTTTAATAAAGTTTGATTTATCTGACTGCTTTGTTTCGCTTAATGTGCCTTATAATCCCGTGCACCTTATGGTCCGAAAAATACGTACTGCACACTGCAGTTTAATGTTGCAAAGCACCTCTTTTTAACTTCAGTGGATATTATACATGGTTATGCTCAGGATATGTCAGCACGTTTCTACTGGAAATGCCTTTTGGTTAAACTTTCAGCAAGGAATTTGCATTTGCACTGTTACATTTTTATAAAGCTTTAATGTACATAAAAACCAGCTTCTTGTTTAAGTGAAAATAAATGGAAGGTTGTCTTTTTGCGCTAGTAATGTTGTGGAGTTGTATTTTGTCTCGCATCAATTATATCGTCGGTTATATCGTTATCGCAAATTTTCAAATATATATCGTGATAAATATTTTTGGCCATATCGCCCTGCTCTAAGAATAGGTACTTGTTCTTCTACAGGAGGTACTTTTTCAGCTATCTTCTGTAAGTGTGAGAACTTCATGGCCACTTGTGGACAGGGAATCTCTCTCCTGTCGTCTGGAATCATGTCACATTCAATCAGGTTTGGGAGTGGGAGCTTTACTTTACCATCCATTGACTCAATCATGAAGTTTACTGCTGTTCTGCCGACATTATCTGACAGTCCTGAGCATGTTCTGAGCTTGTAAGTCTCTGAGCGTGTCTTAATATTAAAGAGCTCAAAAAACTGAGACTTAGCTAGTGACTTGTTACTTTGTTCATCAAGCACTGCATACATCTTTCTAGCCTGTTCTTTTTCGCCTTCTGGATAGACTAACACAGGACTTATTTTTGAGCATGAATGTGGGCTATCTTCATCACCACAGACTTCTGTGCATTTGGAAACAACTGAGGCATTTGCATTATCCTGTGTCTCCCCGCCATCATCTTTATCAGCTCCAGAGCTCTCAGCTGGAGCAGGGGGTGGACCTGGATGTAGCACTGCTAAATGCCTGTCGCTACCACAGTCCATGCATTTTATTTGAGCCCTGCAGTCCCTTGCTAAATGTTGAGTAGAGCCACAGCATTTAAAACAGATTCTGTTCTC